GTGTCTCTGTGTGTCCCCGTTCGTTCATTCGCTGCCCGCCGGAAGCGGAAACACCGTGTCCTCGCACCGTTTCATACAAGGCTGCACGCCACGGCAAGCACTGCCGGCTGCAGTGGATGAGGGGGAGTCACGTGGGTGGGGCACGGCCCACTGTGCAGCCACCCAACGCCAAATTACACTCCGCACGCTGTTTTTTTCGCACCAATCCGCCTGGACCGGCCCCTTCCTGGCACCGGGCACACTGACGCTCACACGATTTGCGAGCAACACACGCCACCTTGGTGGTTGCCGCTGTCGGTTTGGGTGGGTGGACCAGCCCGTTCCGGGTGGCGTAATGGGACGGCACCTGCACCGCGCGACCCCACACAAAGCTCACGGTAGCTTTTGGGAGCGCGGGTGGGCGAGAGAGCATGTTTGACCCACTCGTTTGCGCGTGTGCAAGAGAGGAGGAGGGGAGAGGGGCCACAAAGAGATTCGGGCTGCCGGCCACGGCCGTGCCATCACACCTGAGAGGGATGGAGGGGGAATGGGGGAGGAAAAGGGACGGAGGAGAGGAGGGGGACAGGCCAGAAGGAGGGAACGGGGCGAGGAGGCAAAAGGCCAGGCAGGAGGCGGAGGAGAGGGGAGGGTGATGGGAGGGAGAGGACGACGAGCACGACTAGTCGGGGGCCGGGGCCAGCGCTCCAGGCACGGAGCCGTTGGCTCCAGATGCCACACCGCTACACATCACAGCGCAGCACAGCACAGCACGACCGCGTGTGTGCGTGTGTGTGGCAGCACATCACACCACAAAGCAGCACATCACGACACAGCAAGACAACACACAACACATCACATCACAGCGCGTCGCAGCACATCACAGCACATCACATCACATCACAGCCGCTTGGCGTGTCTGTGTGTGTCTGTGTGTGAGTATCCGTGTGGCTCCGTGTGTTTCGGTGTCTCTGTGTGTCTCTGTGTGTCTCGGTGTGTTTCTGTGTGTATCTGTATATATATATATATATAGATATGTGTGTCTCTGCGTGTCTCTGTGTGTCTCTCTGTGCCTCTGTGTGCGTCTGTGCGTGTGTGCCTGTATGTGTGCCCGTCTGTGTGTGTGTCTGTGTGTGCGCGTGTCTGTGTGTGTGGGTCTGTGTGTGTGTGTGTCTGTGTGTCTGTGTGTATGTGTGTATGCGTGTGTGTCAGAGTGTGCCAGTGTGTGTGTGTGTTTTAGTGTGTGTCTGTGTGTGTGTTTTAGTGTGTGTATGTGTGTGCTGTGTGTGTCTGTGTGTGTGTCTTTGCGTGTGCGTGTTTGTGCGTGTGTCTGTTTCTGTGTCTATGTGTGTGTCTGTGTGGGTGCCTGTGGGTGCATGTGCGTGCCTGTGTGTGTCTGTATGTGTGTGTGTGTGTCAGTGTGTGTGTGTGTGTCTCTCTCTCTCTCTCTCTGTGCCTCTGTGTGCGTCTGTGCGTGTGTGCCTGTATGTGTGTCCGTATGTTTGATGTGTGTGTGTGTCTGTGTGTGTGCCTGTGTGTATGTGCGTGTCTGTGTGTGTCTGTATGTGTGTGTCAGTATGTGTGTGTGTGTCTCTGTGTGTTTCTGTGTGTGCGTGTCTGTGTGTGTGCCTTTGTGTGCTTATGTGTGTGTGTGTGTCTTTGTGTGTGCTTCGGTGTGTGCGTGTGTGTCTTTACCGTAGCTTCTGGCTCAAGACCATTTCCTGGGGGGGGGCCTCCTCCCACAGGGTCAGGGCTCGAAGTTGGCCAGCACGGCCTGGGCGGCGCGGCCGGGCAGCGCGCCGCCGCTGGCCCTCGGCATGGCTGCCGATGTGGTGACCTCCGCCGCGGCGAGGCGGCGGCGGCAGCGGCGTGCTGCTGCCGCAAGCGTGAAGGCCCTGCTGCGCCGCCCCGTGCGTCCTGCCGCCGCCGGCTGCGGCGGGCGGCCACCGCCCGCGCGCGGGGTAGGTTGTGGGGCAGAAAGCTCGGGGGCTGCTCGTGTCGGGGGGGAGGGGGAGGAGGTGGTGGTGGGTGGTAGTGGCGGTGGTGGATGGAGGGCGCACTGGACGCGTCGTGGGGGGGGGCGGTGGGGGGGGAACGTCGTGAGACACGTCGGCTCGAGTGCGTGCCTTCCAGGTGCAGAAGCCCCGCTCTCGCCCTCTCGTGCGCCGCAATGCCTGCGAAGCGCCAGATTACGGAGCTCGCGGATCGCGCGACGGCGTTGGAGCGCGGGCACGCCCGCGCTCACGCCAAAATCGACGACCTGGTGAGGCATCGGAACGCGGTGATCGTAGGGTCGTCCGCCCTCAAGAACCTCCACGCGGAAAAGGTCTTCAACGGCGGCAACCGCTGGGGCACGTTCAAGGCAGGCGTCGCCGACGCCCTCGTCCCCGAGCTCGCGCGCCACATTGGGCCCCCCGACGACCTCGTCGGCCCCGTCGGCTCCGACGTGGACGGGGTGTTCGCGAGCGCGCGGCCAGCACTGGCCCGCCTCAACCAGCTTCTCCGCGCCCCCGGCGCCGCCCAGAACATTCACGCCAATTCGCGCAAGGGGCCAGGGGGGACGCGCGTCGTGAACGGGGACTTCGAGCTGAAGTTCAAGTTCCTCGGGCCGGCGGGGGAGATCGCCAAATGCATCGAGGCCCTGGACAGATCGTTGCGCATGGCGCCTGGGCTTCCGGTACGTCAGCCAGACGGTCTACAGGCGCCCGCCCTCACGCGGCGCCCAACCGCCAACGCGCTCATCATGTTTTTTGCGACCACGGACACGGAGCGCGAGAAGAAGCGCCAGCGCCAGCGCGAGTGAATAGGGCGCCCGACGGCGGTCGGCCGGTGCGTTTGGGGACGGAGAGACAGGCGGGCAGGGGTAGGGGGCGGGTGGGGGGCGCAGGCCAGGTAGCTAGCTCGGCGGGGCCGACCGCGCAGGGCGCGGCGCAAGTGGGACACCGTTGGACGCGGTCGCCCCCCTCGGGGGGAATGGGTTCCAGAGCTTCTTGGTCGCGGTGCCGGCCGAGTGTTCCAGCGAGGTAAAACGCCGGCCGGCCGGCTCGCCGCCGCGCCCTGCCGGGAGCCCGGGCGCCGAGCTATAATGGCACAAGTTTTTCCGGCGCCCCTCGGGAAAATGTCGGGGGAACACGGGCGCCGGAGGGCTCGCGTGATGGGTTTTTCCGACATCCGGACCAGAAGTGCACCTGCGCCTCCCCCCCCCTTCCGGCCGTGTGTCTGGACGCCGAGCTAGCCGGGGCCGCGGCGCACCCTTCCTGGATTTTTTCGGGGCAGTGCCGGGAGAACAGGGGCGCCAAAGGGCTCCCGGAACGGGTTTCTTCCAACATCTGGACCAGAAGAACGCCAGCGTTTTGTTCCTCCCCCCCCCCCCCCCTCTCGACCGCGAGGCGGGGGCCGAGCTAGCCGCGGTCACTGCGCAGCCTCTCTGGCGCTTCTGGAAATACAAGGGTTCGAGAGCAAAGAGGGGCTCAACGGGGCGGGGCTTCCGGCATCCCGGGACAGGGCGGCGCCAGCGCCCCTCCCCTCCTTTCCCCTCTTTCGGCCGCGCGGCCGGGGGCCGAGCTGGATTCGGGCATGAAGCAAAATAGGCGGCGTTTCCCGGCCGCGGAAGGGGGGGCAGGAGCACGAGGGGTGAACGGCGCGTTCTCTTTGACTTCGCGGTGAGGGGGGCAGGGGCAGCATGGGCGCGCTGAGTGCCACGCGCCGGGTCGTTCGGCCTCACAGGCCAAGGTTGTTGCATCCAGAGATCGACGTCGCGGTGCAATGCAGGCACCAAACCTTCTGTCTCACATCGTATAGCACACGCGCAAAGTAGCTGAGTCTGGGATGGGCACCTGGCGTCTCCTCCTCGCTCTCTCCTTCTGCATCCTCACCCCCCCTTTCTCGCCTACTCTACAGGATGGGGTCGGGGGTGGGGCCTTTGCTTTTTTTGGTGGTGTGTGCGTGTGTGTGTGTGTGTGTGTGTGTGCGCGGGGGGGGGGGGGCGCGCGCGCCGACATCCCCACCCAGCGCGAGCGCGAGAACGAGCACGAGCACGATGGCCATCAGTGGCATGTTCCTTCAGCACGGCCGCGCGGGCGCGGTGGCGACCTGGGCTGAATCGCGCCCGGGATCACCGGCAAGCCGACTGGCGACCTAGCGGGGTCGATTGTGAAGGGCATCCAGGAGGCGTCGAGGAGGGCATCGAGGAGGCGAAGGAGGCGCAGGATGTGGTGGACGAGGAGGTGGAGGACATGGGGGAGGTGGTGGAGGAGGGCTTCGACGACAGGATCGTGGAGGTGGAGGTGGAAGTCGCGGAGGACGAGGACGTCGATGGGGAGGTGACGGACGAGGCGCGCGCGCGCGTTCCCACCATCTTGGCGCCGCTGCGCGCCCTGGAGAGTCCTCGTCGCCACGACCGGCTCCCCGATGCGTCAGAGAGGCGGTCGATCCATCGACCCTCGCTCGTCCTGGAAAGCCCTAGTCGCCGCGGCTGGAAAGCGGAACCAGCTGCACAATCGCCAGCAGCACGACGAAGTCCAGCCGCAGCATCGCGAGCAGCACAACGGACCCCAGCAACTCTGTCGCGTCGTCACACTTGCGTCTCAAGGGGTTGCCGCGAGTAGTCACGTCCCCAGTGGGTCTACGGCCGGCTGCCTTGGAAGCGAGGCGAGGCCCCGCCGCCCCTGGTCGGGAGGGACCACGATCGAACCTGGCGCCGTTTTCTCGTCCTGGAGAGCCCTCGTCGCCACTGCAGGATTCTCGAAGAGTCGGAGAATTCCGGGGGGGCGGAAGTAGAAGAGATCTTGGCGCGGCTGCGCGTCTTGGAGATCCCGCGTCGCCGCGGCCGGATTCCCGACGCGTCAGAACGGGAGTCGGTTTTGCGACCGCTGCTCGCCCTGGAGAGCCCTCGCCACCGCGGCTGGAAGGCGGAGCCCAGCAACCTGGCATAAACGAGCTGTCACACGACCCCTTCGATCTTCCCGGGGATCCCGGGGCCAAGATTCTTGGCCGCTGGGGTGCCGGGCCCCACGAAGGCCCCCTGGCGCACGGCCACGACGAGCGGGGAACCCGTCGAGGCAGCGCACTTGGATTGCATGGGGCATCCCACGCGCGCGCGGCGCCCCCAGCCAGACACCAGGGGCAGCGAACGCACCGGGACTCTGCGCCCCCAACCCGCCCTCCCTGCGCCGCCGCGACCCCCGCCCCGGGTTCGCTGCTGGCCGCAAGGGGAACGCGGCATCATGCCACAGTTTTTTGCCACAGTCGATGGCGCGCTTCAGCGATGCGCGACGGGGGGGGAAGGGAGCGGGGAGTGCAGCGCGCACCTTCCTGAAGATGGATTGGCCGGGGGTGCGACGGCCGACTTAGACGAGGGGGCGCGCCCTGGATCCAGGCTTGACCCTGCTACCCACAGCGACGAGCCCAGACAGAGCGCAGGAACCACGCGCGGGCGGCAAGAGGGAAGCGACAGGACCTCGAACGCGACGGCCCCACCAAGAGCTGACGCAATCTCTTCGCCGACGTCAGAACGCGGCCCTGTCACGGAGCAGCCCTCTCGGACTGATGGCACCCAGTCAGACATTGGGGCCGGCGATCGGACCGCGCCGCTGCGCCCCCAGCACGGCCCCAGAGGCGATCCAGGGACTGTGCACCCCGAGCCGCCTGCTGCCCCCCGGCCCCCCCCCTCTGCGAACCCCAGGCCACCGCGTCGTTCCCCGCCCCGGGCGCGCTGCTGGTTGCAGGGATATCGTTGCATCCTGCCACGGCTCGCGACACGCCACGCGTGTACGAGACCGGGGGTGGATGGGGCGGGGAGAACAGCGATTGCCATCCAGAGGCCGCGACGGCTGGGCCAAGCGAACGATCGGGGCTCGGACCCAGACCTGACACCGCTGGGAAGACAGGAGAACCCAGCGGCGCCTCTCCTGGGCCCGGCTCACCCAAAAACAGACCTAGTGGGGGCGCCGACAAGAAGTCACCACGAGTAGCGACGCCCCCAGGGACAGGTTTTGCGCAAGCTACGCGGTTCAGCCAGCCCACGAGGCGCCCGCGGGGCTGGGCCTTCCCCGCGGCGCGCGCAACAGCTGCTAGACGCAGCAGCTGCTAGACGCCCAGCGGCGCGCGGCAACTGACAGCGGGACAGTGCTGCGAGAACGACCAATCCCTTCGGATCCATTGCAGACGTCGCCACCGACGCGCCCCCTGGCTCCTGGGCGCGCAGACGCAGACGGCCAGGTCCGCGCAATCCTCCTTGGTGCGGCCGCCTGCCCAGAGGCCCTGCTGGCAAGGCACCCCGACGGCTCGCGCGGCCGCCGCTGCCCGGTGAGTCTCGGGCTGCAGTTGCGCCCAGTTGCCAGGGGGCCGGGCCCGCGGGTCGGCGCGGCGCCGCCGCCCCAGGAGGAGGTGGCCGCACTCCGTCGCCTGGTCAGCCAAGGCCCTTTCGCCCCCATCTGCCCGCCTTTCGCCGACAGCGCTTCGGGCGGCCCCCGTCTGCCAAGGGGCGGCGACGGCGCCCCGGGAGGAGACTGCATCGAGACGGCCCTGGGCCAAGACGACTACGATGGCGACGAGGACGGCGCCCCCCCACTTGGTTCGCACGGCCCCCCCAGACCGTTGCGGCCATTGCCCGGGGGGCGCCGGGGCCACCGAGGAATCGGCAAAAACCCTCGCACAAGACGTCGCCGCGCTCAGCGGCGCACCTAGTTCGCGCAGGAAGGATGACGGCGGGCGCTCGGGCGCGCCCGGGGGCGGCGGGGGGGCCCTCTGGGATCGAGGTGGGGGGCCCCGAGGGGGCGGAGGAAGGGGGCCTCCTGGCACCGCCGCGCGCCCTGGAGAGCCCTCGTTGCCGCGGCCAGATTTGGGGGCGACCAGGAAGGGGTGGGTCCGTCGACCGCTGCTCGCCCTGAAGACTTCTCGTCGCCGCGAACAGACGGCGGAACCTATGCCTCGGAGCCGCGAGCAGCAGTGCTGACGCCAGCGGCGCCGTCGGGGGCAGGATGACGGACCCCTGCTGCGCGACCGCGAGCAGCAGGACGCACTCCAGTAGCAACATTGCGAACGACACGACGAACCTCAACAGGTCGACCTTGTGCAACGCGCCAAAGTCCAGCAGCGAGACAGTGGGCAGTCAGAAGAACACCAGCTCTGCAACCGCGAGCGGCCAGACAGACTCTGCTGAGCCGATCGAGCTGACGACAGCGGCGCCGACGCCAACGCGCCTGGGCCCAACGCCCCATCCGACGCCGCCGTCGTCGTCGCCCAGCCCTGCACTCCTCCCGACCGACCCTCTCCCGACGCCACCCCCGCGCCCGGCCCGCGCCCCCTCCGACGCCCCTGCCCGCCCCCTGTCCGCAAGTCGGGGCGACGCGCGGCGCCCGCCCTTGCAGTCCGCCACGCCACTGGCGCCAGCCGGCGACTGGGTCACCGCCGACAAGCACCCGTGCGTGAGCCCACCGACCGCCCCAGAGGCTCCTCGCTCCTCCCCAGCGACGACGGCCGCTGGCAGTTCCAGCACCGCGGGCTGCTGCGGCGCCAGCCCGCGAGGGGGGCATCTCTGCCTGCGCGGCGCGAGCTCCTGCTACTCGTTAACACTTGGACTGCGTTGCTAGACGCTCGCGCCCCATGGGGCTCGTCCACCCCGGACAGGGCAAGGGGCAGGCGCGCCCTGAGGATGCCCCAACGCGCGTGCTGCTCCTGCTCGACTTTCTCAGCTCGAAGGGGGCCCCGGTGGCCCGGGGCAGGAGGATGCCGCAGATAGGTGGTGGACATGGGGCGGCCTGACATAGGTTTTGCGCTCTGCGCGGCGGCGGCGCCCGCGGCCCCAGCCAGCGCGACGCCGCCCCCCCCCCGCTGCTTCCCCAACCACGCGCGGCCCCCCGCGCGTGCACAAGCGCAGGAAACTGCACCAACGCGGCGCCCCTAGATTGGCCATGCGCTGCCCACCCCGACATGCCCACCCCGACGGCGCGTGGCCCCCAACGGCTTTCGGCCACAGTTTTGACACAGGTAACTGCGCAAGCTATTCGGCGCCCGTAGACTGGCCGGGCACTGTCCACTCCGCTGGCGCCGGGCCGCCCAGCGCCGACGCCCCGCCTGCTGGGCCCCCCCCGCAGGCGGGATGCTCCTCCCCCATATCCCCCCCTCACCTTCCCCTGCGCCTTGCCCCCCCCATCCGCGCGCGCGCCGCCATGGCGCTCGCGCTGCTGCCGCAGTTTGCAGCCCCCCCGCGCGGCAGCGCTCCTGGGCCTGGTCTTGCCGCCCGCGCCCACCTCGCGGGCCCAGCATTTTGCCGGCGGCGGTCTGAAACTTAGATTTCTTGAAGACTTGCCGTACCATGTCAACCCAGCCACCCACCTGGGCGGCTTCACGGCGCTTTTCCTGACGTGCAAGTTGCCCTACTTCACCGACGGCGCCACTGCGGCATTTGCTTTCACATACTGGGCCCCGTCATCGCCCGCGGGCGCCCCAGCGGCGCGGCCCCGCTGCTGCCGTGGCCCCCGCTGACGGGGCCGGCCGCGCCAGCGCGCTCAGGTCCGGAGTTTTCTGCTTCTGAGTGGCGCCTCTTCCCCCCTCCTCCGCGGCCGCCCTGTCCGTCTTTCCCCTCCCCTGCACGTTGGCCACCTCGATCCTCGGCGCCCCCGTTATAGCTTTCTACCTGGCGCAGCCATTCTGCCTCGACGCCGACGGAAACAGGCGTGCGTCTCTTTGTGTGTGCGTCTGTGCAAGTGCCTACGTTTGCGCCTGCGTGTGTGAGTGCATGCGCGCCTGTGTGTGTCTGTGTATATGCATGTGTATGTGTGTGTGCCTGTGTGTGCACGGTTGTGCGAAGGTGTGTCTGCGTGTGTGTCTGTGCGTGTTCGTGCGTGTGTCTGTTTGTGCGTGTGTCTGTGTGTGCGTTTGTGCGTGCGTGTCTGCGTGCATGTGCGTGTGCCTGTGTATGTTTGTTTATGTGTCTGCGTGTCTGTGTCTGGCTGCGCGTATGCGTGTGTCTCTGCGTGTGTATGTATGTGTGTGGTTGTGTGTGTCGGTGTGCGTTTGTGTGTGTCTGTGCGTGTGTTTGTGTGTTGTCTGCGTGTGTGCGTGTGTGTATGCGTGGATATGTGTGTGTGTCTGCGTGTGTCTATGTGTGTGTTTGCGTGTGTGTGTGTCTGTGTGGGTATGTGAGTGTCTGTGTGCGGGTGCGTGTGTGCGCGTGTGCGCGTGTGCGAGTGCGCGTGCGTGCGTGTGCGTGTGCGTGCGTGCGTGTGTGAGTTTGTGCGTGTGTGTGTGTGTGTGTGAGCGTGTGCGCGCGTGCATGCGCGTGCGCGCGCGTGCGTGCGCGTGCGTGTGCGTGCGCGTGCGCGTGCGTGCGAGTGTGTGCGTGTATGCGTGTCTGCGCGTGTGCCTGTGTGCGTGTGCGCGTGTGCGCGTGTGTGCGTGTGTGCCTGTGTGCGTGTGTGTGCGCGTGCGCGTGTGCGCGTGCGTGCGTGTGTGCGCGTGTGCGCGCGTGCGTGCGTGCGCGTGCGTGTGCGTGCATGTGTGCGCGCGTGCGTGTGTGCGTGTGTGTTTGTGTTTGCGTGTGTGCGTGTGTGTGTGTGAATGTTTGGGTGTGTTGTCTGTTTGTTGTATGTTGTGTGTTGTGGGTATGTGTGTTGTGCGTTGTGTGTGTTGTGTGTGTTGCGTGTGTTGTGTGCGTGTGTTGTGTGCTGTGTGTTCGTGGTGTGTGCTGTGTGTGCTGTGTGTGTGTTGTGCGTGGTGTGCGTTGTCTGTGTTGCGTGCGTTGTGCGTGCGCGCGTGCGCGGGCGTGTGCTGGCGTGCGTGCGCGTGTGCGTGGCGTGCGTGTGGTGTGTGTGTGTGTGTGTTTGTGCGCGTGTGCGTGTGCATGTGCGTGTGTGCGTGTGCTTGTGTGTGCGTGCGTGCGCGCGTGCGTGCGCCTGCGTGTGTGCGCGCGCGTGTGTGCGTGCGCATGTGCGCGTGTGCGTGTGCGCGCATGCGCGCGAGCGCGTGCGCTTGTCGAGCGCGCGCGGGCGTGCGAGAGGGTGGGCGCGCGGGCTTGCGGGCGTGCGCGTGTATGCGTGTATGCGCGTATGCGTGTTTGTGTGTCTGTGTGTGTGCGTGTGCCTGCGTGTGCGTGCGTCCGTGCGTGCGTGCGTGCGTGCGTGTGTGAGTGTGCGTGCGTGTGTGCGCGTGCGTGTGCGCGTGCGCGTGCGTGTGCGTGCGCGTGTGCGCGTGCGTGTGCGCGTGCGCGTGCGTGCGCGTGTGCGTGTGCGTGTGCGTGCGTGTGTGCGTGTGTGTGCGCGGGTGTGCGTGTGTGTGTGCGTGGTGTGCGTGTGCGTGTGTGTGCGTGTGTTTGTGTGTGTGCGGGTGTGTGTGTGTGTGTGCGGGTACGCGGGCGTGGAGGTGCGCGGGCGTGCAGGTTTGCGGGTGTGCGCGTGCGCGTGCGTGTGCGAGTGCGCGTGTGTGTGTGTTTGTGTGTGTGCGCGTGCGTGTGCGCGTGGGTGTTCGTGTGCGTGTCTGTGTGTGTGCGTGTATACGCGTGCGCGATCACGCGTGTGCGTGCGCGTGTGCGTGCGCGTGCGCGTGCGTGCGGTGCGGTGCCGTGCCGTGCCGTGCGGTGCCTGTGTACGTGCTTGCGTGCATGCGCGCGTGTGTGCGCGTGCGCGTGGCTGTGCGTATGCGCGTGCGTGTATGTGTGCAGACGTGCGCGTGCACATGCGTGTGCGCGTGCGCGTGCGTGCGGTGCGGTGCGGTGCGATGCGGTGCGTGTGTATGTGCCTGCGTGCATGCGTGCGTGTGTGCGTGTGTGTGCGATCGCGTGCGCGTGCGTGCGTGCGTGCGTGCGTGCGTGTGTGTGCGCGTGTGTGTGTGTGTGCGTGTGTGTGTGTGTGTTTGTGCGTGTGTGTGTGTGTGCGTGTGTGCGCGTGTGCGTGTGTGCGTGCGTGCGTGTGCGCGTGTGTGCGTGTGTGCGTGCGTGCGTCTGTGCGTGCGTGCGTGTGTGCGTGTGTGCGTGTGTGCGTGTGTGTGCGCGTGTGTGTGGTGTGTGTGCGTGCGTGCGTGCGCGTGCGCGTGCGCGTGCGTGTGCGTGTGCGTGCGCGCGTGCGCGTGCGTGTGCGTGTGCGTGTGCGTGTGCGTGTGCATGTGCGTGTGTGCGCGTGTGCGTGTGCGTGCGCGTGTGCGTGTGCGTGTGCGTGTGCGTGCGCGTGCGCGTGCGCGTGCGCGTGCGCGTGTGTGTGGGGGGTGGGTGGGTGGGTGGGTGGGCGTGGGTGGGGTGGGTGTGTGTGGGTGTGGGTGTGGGTGGGTGTGGGTGTGTGTGTGTGTGTGTTTGTGCGTGTGCGTGTGTGTGTGGGTGTGGGCGTGGGTGCCTGTGCGTGGGTGCGTGGGTGCGTGTGTGCGTGGGTGCGCGGGTGCGTGGGTGCGCGGGTGCGTGGGTTGCGCGGGTGCGTGGGTGCGTGGGTGCGTGTGCGTGTGCGTGGGTGTGTGCGTGCGTGTGTGTGTGTGTTTTGTGTGCGTGTGTGCGTGTGTGCGTGTGTGCGTGTGTGCGTGTGTGCGTGTGCGTGCGTGTGCGTGCGTGGCGTGGGTGGGCGGGTGTGGGGGCATGGGGGCGCGGCGCGTGGGGGCGGCGGGGGCGCGGGAGCGCGGGGGCGCGGCGGCGCGGGGCGGGGGTGGGGGCGGGGGTCAAGCTAGCCAGCTCGAGCGAGTCAAGCACGGCATGCCCATCCCCACCCGCCCCCCCCACCCCCCCCCCCCCCCCCCACAACATAAGAAACAGCGATGGCACGACTGGGGGGAGGGAAACAGCGAAGTGGGCAGGGAAAATCAGCATGGCATTGTTTCTGACAAGTAAGGTGGCCCCTTCCCGTGGGGGGGGGGTGGGGCGGGGCGGGGCAGGGGTGGGGGGTGGGCTGGGCGTTGCGCGCGCGTGCGTGCGCGTGCGCGTGCGCGCGCGTGCGCGTGCGCGTGCGCGCGCGCGTGCGTGCTCGCGCGCGCGCGCATGCGTGTGCGTGCGCGCGTGCGTGTGCGTGTGCGTGCGCGCGCGCGCGTGCGCGCGCGCGTGCGCGTGCGTGTGCGTGTGCGTGCGCGTGTGCGCGTGCGTGTGCGCGGGCGCGTGCGTGGGCGCGTGCGTGTGCGCGTCCATGTGCGCGCGCGTGTGCGTGTGCGCGTGCGTGTGCGCGTGCGTGTGCGTGTGCGCGTGCGCGTGCGCGTGCGCGTGCGTGTGCGCGTGCGTGTGCGTGTGCGTGTGCTCGCGCGTTTGCGTGTGCGCGTGCGCGTGCGTGTGCGTGCGGGTGTGCGTGTGCGCGTGCGCGTGCGTTCGTGTTTGTGGTTGTGTTTGGGTTTGCGTTTGTGTGTGTGTGTTTGCGTTTGTGTTTGTGTTTGTGCTTGTGCGTGTGATTGTGCTTGTGATTGTGCTTGTGTTTGTGTGTGTGCTTGTGCTTGGGCTTGGGCTTGTGGTTGTGTTTGTGTTTGTGTTTGTGTTTGTGTTTGTGTTCGTGTTTGCGTTTGCGTTTGTGTGTGTGTTTTGTGTGTGTTTGTGTTTGTGGTTGTGTGTGTTTGTGTTTGTGGTTGTGGTTGTGGTTGTGGTTGTGTGTGTGTGTTGTGATTGTGTTTGCGTTTGCGTTTGTGGTTGTGTTTGCGGTTGCGTTTGTGTGTGTTTGTGCTTGTGTTTGTGTTTGTGTTTGTGTTTGTGTTTGCGTGTGTTTGTGTTCGTGTTTGTGTTTGTGGTTGTGGTTGTGGTTGTGGTTGTGGTTGTGGTTGTGGTTGTGGTTGTGGTTGCGGTTGCGTTTGCGTTTGCGTTTGCGTTTGCGTTTGCGTTTGCGTTTGCGTTTGCGTTTGCGTTTGCGTTTGCGTGTGCGCGTGCGCGTGCGCGTGCGCGTGCGCGTGCGCGTGCGTGTGCGTGTGCGTGTGCGTGTGCGCGTGCGTGTGCGCGTGCGCGCGCGTGCGCGTGCGCGCGCGTGCGTGCGTGCGCGCGTGCGTGCGTGCGCGCGCGCGTGCGTGCGTGCGTGCGTGCGTGCGCGCGTGCGTGCGTGCGTGCGTGCGTGCGTTCGTGCGCGCGCGCGGGCGGGCGTGCGTGCGTGCGTGCGTGCGTGCGTGCGTGCACGCGTGCGCGCGTAAGTGCGTGTATGTGTGTGTGTGTGCCTGTGCGTGTGTGTGTGTGTGCGTGTGCTTGTGCGCGTGCGTGTGCGTGTGCGTGTGCGTGTGCGTGTGCGTGTGCGTGTGCGTGTGCGTGTGCGCGTGCGCGTGCGCGTGCGTGTGTGCGCGTGTGCGTGTGCGTGTGCGTGTGCGTGTGCGTGTGTGTGTCTGTGCGTTCGTGTGTGTGTGTGTGGGTGTGTGTGTGTGGGTGGGTGCGGGTGTGGGTGTGGGTGTGGGTGTGGGTGTGGGTGTGGGTGTGGGTGTGGGTGTGGGTGTGGGTGTAAGTGTGGGTGTGGGTGTGGGTGTGGGCGTGGGTGTGGGTGTGGGTGTGGGTGTGTGTGTGGGTGTGTGTGTGTGGGTGTGTGTGTGTGGGTGTGTGTGGGTGTGGGTGTGTGGGTGTGTGTGTGTGTGGGTGTGTGTGTGTGTGTCAGTGTGTCAGTGTGTGTGTGTGTGTCTGTGTGTGTCTGTGTGTGTCTGAGTGTGCGTCTGTGTGTGTCTGAGTGTGCGTCTGTGTGTGTCTGTGTGTGTCTGTGCGTGCGTGCGTGCGTGTCTGTGTGTGTTTGTGTCTGTGTGTGTTGTTTGTGAATGTGTATGTGTGTGTGCGGCGTGCGTGCGTGCGCGTGCGTGCGTGCGTGCGTGCGTGGAGTGTGGAGTGCGTGTGTGTGTGGTGGGGGAGTGGCTCAGTAATCATCTCGCTGCAAGAGGCGGCGCAGGCGAACGAAACCGATGGCCCGACACGAGCTCACGTTCCACCTCAGCGGCTCCGCGCCCAGCGTCGTAGGCGGTCACGGCGAAGGTCAAGCGAGCGGCAAGCGGAGCGGGAGAGAGGGGCCGGTTGAAGCGGCGGCTGGGCGGCGAGAGCGGAGGACGGATGCAGGGAGGGGCGAAAGAGGAAGGCAGGAACAGGGAAGGAACCGCGTCGCGGGCGAAGCCGGGAGCGGGACGGCGAAAGAGGAAGGGGCGAGAGCCTAGACCGAAGCAGAGGCCGAGAGGCCAGAAGAAGGGAGGTGTGGCAGGACGGTCACACATGCACACCAATCGCTGCAAGCGTGGTGGCGGACAGCCGTGGTGATCGAATCCTTCATGGAGAGCGCGAAGCGCGACCTGGAGGCACGTCGCCTTGTCAACGAGCAGCGCGTAAAGAAGTTGATACCGAGGCTGACAGCCATGTTCCGAGAGTTGGATGTGGACGGCAGCGGCCTTGTCACCCTGGAGGAGGTCGAGTCTGCCCCTCTGGAGCTGCAGAACGAGCTCGAGAGCCTCCTGAATGGGTGTCATTTTCCAGACATCTTTGAAGCTCTGGACGAGGACGGTTCCATGGAGATATCCATCGACGAATTTATGGACGGCATGACGAAGATCACACGCGGGCAGACGCTGGAGATGACGCGCATCCTCAAGCTGCAGACGGTCATCCGGAAGGACCTCGTCCATCTGAGGCGCGCATGCGAGTCTCAGTTCGCTTTCCCCGCCAATAAGCGACAGCCCCCAGCGAGCGTGGGCTCAGGTTTTGATTCCAACCCGCTCACCCCGGTGCTGTGAGATATAAATCCCCCTCGGGACCCGAGACGCACGGGGGCCAGTGCAGACAGGGGGCCCGTCGGAGCGCCGGCTAGTTTGCAGGGCCCTGCAGAGCCAGGGGCTCCTTGACGCGGGCCTGCGTGCAGGATTTTCCAGGATCTCGCAGCAAGCCCGACCGACCCAGGTTTGGCTTGCTCCGTGCCAGCAGCTCCCCGACCTTCGGCCCATCTCGGGCCGGCCGCGGCGAGAGCGAGGCTCCGCCGCTGCCGCGCCGCACGCGCGAGAATACGCGCGCGGAGGGCCCCGTGGCCGTGGTGGAGTCTTTCCCTTCGGCCCGTCTCACCTCGGCATCGCCGACCGATGCTCCATCCTCCTCCTCCTCCTCCTCCTCCTCCTCCTCCTCCTCTCCTCCCCCTCCTCCTCCTCCTCCTCCTCCTCCTCCTCCTCCTCCTCCTCCTCCTCCTCCTCCTCCCCCTCCTCCCCCTCCCCCCTCCTCCTCCTCCTCATCCTCCTCCCCTCCTCCTCCCTCCTCCTCCTCCTCCTCCTCCTCCTCCTCTCCTCCTCCTCCCTCCTCCCATCCTCCTCCTCCTCCTCCCCCTCCTCCCCCTCCCCCCCCCCTCCCTCCTCCTCCTCCTCCTCCTCCTCCTCCTCCTCCGCCGCCTCCTCCCCCTCCTCCTCGTCCTCATCCGCCTCCTCCTCCTTCGCCCTGCACACGCACTGTGCATGCGCCCTGCTGGCCAACCCAGGAGGGCGTCGCGCATGCACCGCTGCCAGGTTGAGGATGGGCGTGGCCAGGGAGCAGTGGATACGCATAGATCTCGTCGCTTATAGTGTGCGCGCAGAGGGGCGGAGCAGGGCGATGAAGACGGCGCCAGCGCCTGCAGACGATCGAGCCATCATCCATTGCGCAAACGCGCGCTTTCGACGGTCCGCGCGGACTTCTGGCGCTGGACCCCCCTCCCTGACGCGCGGAGCGCGCCAGGGGCGGCGCTGAAGTTGTTTTTTCCTTCGAGGAGTGTTGGATACTGATACTTTCATTGGGAGACCAGGTGCTGATATCGCTGCCCGACCGTCGTCGCCACGGCTGGATTCGCCTCGATGTCTTGGTCAGAACGCACCACAGGAGAGGTCTGTGGAGTAGCGGTATGAGTACTTCTTCACCCTCCCAATACAGTTGAAACCGATGGTAAAGATGGGGAGCTTTTCCAAGGGAACCCTTGCATCCTTGTCTCTTCGGTCCATCTCCGACTACTCTCGATGACCAGCCCCGCCCAAGAAAGCTCCAGCGTCGGCGCCCCAGGAGGTTGCACTCTGACCGCGAATCCTCCACCACCAGTTCTGACCGCACTCGTCCGCCCCTGCGTGCGCGAAAGCCTCCCGAGGGCCCGACGGGGGGGGGGGGGGGGCAAAGAACCTGATGGAGGACGAGATCCCGCTCCCGGTCTCCAAGAAGGGCGTCGTGCAGAAGCGCGGCCCTGCCCGCCTGGACCGGAGAAAGGTCCTTATCACTCAGTCATCAGAGCCGTCCAAACCCCCGCCGGGACAGCGTGGGTTGCGCGGGCCTCCAGCAGCTGTGGCTGTGGCTGCGTGCGCCCCGGCGGTGCGCCGACGCTGCGCCGATGCTGCGCCGAGGGGGGCCCGCCCGCGCCCGGCGGGCCGGGCCCGGGCCTCCGGCGCGCCGAGAAGCCGAGGGCGGCGCGGCCTCCCGCCGCTCGCGGCGGGGCCCTGCGCCGGGGCCCCGGGGGGCCGCCCGCAGCAGCGTCGGGGGCCCCCGGACGGGGTGGCGACCACACCGTGTGGCGAGTCGGTGGGGGTTCGGGGTCACCGCCCGGTGTTGGCCTCGAGTCCCTCTCTCAGCGGAGCCGTAACGGGTACTTACTAACGGGTACTTTGCAATTTTGCCGAAAGTTGCCACTTTAGGGCCTTTTTCTTGCATTGCAGCTTTGCCCACATCGGGAAGGGCTGGGTTCGCTGAATCACTGGCCAAAGTACCCGTTAGTGGAGTCCCCGTTTGAGGGGCGCTGACTCTCCGAGGACGTCTCGGGCGACAGGGACCTTCGGGGGTCCCAAAACCGTGCGCTGGCGGGCCGTGCGGTGAGGTCCGAGGGGATTTTTGAGGTCACCGCACGGTCTGTCACCGCACCGTGTCGGGGCTCCAGAGAGCGGCTCAGGACGAAGAGCCGGCCCACGGGGAGAGTCGAGGGAGGAGAAACCACCCAGACTTGACAACTGACGTCTGCTGAGGAGCGGCCTTGGGCGTGTACCAGCCCTGCCCTGCCCTGCGCGATCCCCGCTTTGGGCGCGTTTACGGAACGACCTCGCGTGTCGGGGGTGGTTCTTGCGGGGGTGGTGGATGCTTTGACTTCTAGAGAAGGCCTCGGGGCTGCGGGGGTGCCCGTGCTGAGGGCGTCGAGAGGCCCCGGGCCCCTGGGGAGTGGCGCCCCGCGCCGTGTCGGCCAGATCTCCGACGACTCGATGTGCTGGACTCGCGGGTCCGTGGGAGGCATCCGTACACCACCTCGGTGCCTGCCCTTGGCGATCCTGGGCCTCAGCACGGTGCACACAAGTCCTGCTGGCCTCCTTCCCCTCCTTCAGCTCCTCCTTCCTCCCCGCTCCTCCCTCCCCTCCCCCCCCTCCCTCTTCCTCCCTCCCCCTCCTCGCCTCTCCCTCCTCGCTCCTCCCTCCTCGCTCCTCCCTCCTCGCCTCGCCCTCCCTCCCTCCGCAACTTCCCCCTGCCACACCGTGGCTTCGCCGGCGAGCCTCCAGCGAGCACACTCTCCCCCTGCCGTGGGATGCCGAGCGCCGCCGCCGGCGCCGCGCTCGCCATGTGTTTTTTTTCTCGGGTCTCGGCCACGCGCTCGGGCGGCCCCCCGCCCGCCCCGCCCCCCCCCCACCCTGGCTTGAAGTCGGGCCTGTCCCTCTACAGGAGGAAGATGCAGAAATAGTTAGAAAATAATCGGGGGGTGTTTGATTATTTGGGGACATTAGCTTTGATTTGTTCATTTGTCCTTCAAAATCCGCCTGCAGGGGGACATGCCCGACCTACCCCCCCCCTCCGTCCCCCCTCCCCTCCTCGGCTACGCAGCCCTCCTCTCTTCTTCCCGCCGCCGGCCCGCCCCTCGCCCGCCCCCCCTTCTTCCCCTCCCCCCTCCCCTTCCCCTCCTCCTCGCCCCCTTCTCCCCCCCCCCTCGCCCGCGCCCAGTTCGCCTCTGCCTCCCCCCCTGTGAAATAAATAGTGTCAGTGCTGATATGTAAGCAGTGTAGCATAGCATGCCAGCAAGCATATGCTCTTTCGTAACTATTTGGGCTCAATCCTTTAAGGGCCCTTGAGCTTGGGCGTATCGGTAGACACCTCGCAGGTGCCGCTAAGCAACATCAATCGCCTATCATTGCTGATATGTTCGCAGATATTTTTACGTCATCGCTGACAATAACAACCTCGCGGTTATCATCGCATTCAGACCCCTCACGCAGTATTGGGTCTGCATTGGTAGCAGGAGCTAACTCGATCACGGCAGCTACGTGCGCGACTTTGCAGAGTCATTTAGCAAGCACTACAGGCTCGTGTCATTGCGACTGTACCTCTCATTCGGGGTCGCCATCATGGCGACAGGAGGAGCCGCTGCAGCCAGCGGCGAGGACAAGAGCAACGGGGGCAAGATCCCCGCACCCGTCTTCGATGGCACGAGCAAGACCATGAAGAAGTACCGCCGAGAGGTCGCCACCTGGCAGATCGGCACCGAGGTCAAGCCGCCCAAGCAGGGAGCGACCTTGCTGGCCAGCCTCAAGGGCAAGGCCGAGGAGGCGTGCGAGGAGCTCGACCTGGACGCCATCAAGGGTGACGACTCGGTGGAGGTGTTCCTGGAGTACCTCGGGAAGCGCTTTCCCGAGATCGAAGTGCTGGAGACCCCAGCGCTGCTGGAGACCTTCGTGCGCCCGGCCTGCGTCCGGCACAAGTACGAGGAGATCCGCGACTGCAACAACCGCTTCAATGGGATCGCCACCAAGCTGAAGGCCAAGGGCATCCAAGTGCCCGACGAGGTCTTGGCGGACCTGTACAGCAAGGGGGCCCGCCTGCCCCCGGAGCGCGCGGCGAGCGTGCTCAACGGTGTGGGCAACCAGTTCAACCCCACCAAGATCCAGGAGCAGTTGATGATCAACTTGCCCAAGGTATCGGTCGTGGACGGCAACAAGGACAGCCACGACAAAGGAGGCTACGGAGGTCACAAGAACAAGGACCACAAGCGGGCGTACGCCACGGAGACGTACGAGGAGGATCGTAGGGCCGAGCTCGACGGCGCGTCCTCAGACAGCTCCGACGACTACGAGGACGAGCTGCCCGACGAGCTGCAGGACGTGATCGACGAGGCGGAGGAGCAGGTAGCATTCTTCACCAAGAAGATGGTGCGCGCCAAGGATAAGCTGAAGGAGGCGAAGCAGGCGCGTGGCTACTTCGCCAAGCGCGACGGCGGCAACCCGCAGACGATCCCAAGATCGCCAATATGAAGGCCAGGACACACTGCGGCGCATGCGGCCAGAAGGTCCATTGGCGCGGTGACCCGCAGTGCTCGAAGAAGAACGACCCTAACGCCAAGGCCGACATCCCGAAGAAGGGAAGCAACAGGACGAACATCGCCACGCACGAGACCAGCGACGCGCAGGAGCCTCACGTGGCGGAGATGACGGTCGCGGCGGTCTACCAGCAGGACCAGCGGGCCGCGGCTCGCGACAGGAAGTACGGTGCGCTGCTCAGCATCGACTGGACGCAGATCCGCCAGGCCGCCGAGCTACCCGAAGAAGTTACGGCGGCGGCGTCTTTCATCAATGAGGACCACCAGTGCCTGATGGCCGCGACGAGCTCGGCGCTAATCTACCTCAGCGTCGAGGACCTGCTGAAGGAGTCGGGGGGCAAGCTGACCTTCGACACGGCCTGCACTCGGTGCGTCGGCGGCCTCGACTGGTGCAACGACATCAAGAAGAGGCTGGCCGCCTTCAACATCCAGCCCATCGAGTACCCCGAGAAGGAGCCGTTCCGGTTCGGGGCGTCGAAGGTGGCGTTCAGCCTCAAGGCGGCGCTGATCCCCTGTTCGGTGAACGGTAGGGCCTTCACCGTCCGCATGAGCATCGTGCGCAGCGCCGTGCCAGGACTGTTCAGCCGCAAGGCCCAGAGCGAGCTGGACATAGTCTTCCACGCCGGAGACAACAAGCTGGACATCAAGTCGATCGACGAGCACAACATCCAGATGGGCCTGAGCCGCGCCGGACACCCGACGCTGGACATCGCAGGCTTCACGCCGAACTATAAGCCCGTTTTGGACGTCTCGGATACCAAGGCCGAGATTCGTCTTCATCCTTGCGCTTCTTACCATGCTGAGACAGCTGTGGCCAGCGCCGCCAAGCCGGTGGCGCCCGAG